GTCGCCCGTGCGGCAGGGCCTGCCGCCGCTCAGCCCGCGGTCGGCGGCGGCAGGCAGCGGCGCGGTGTCGCCGGTCCCGAGCGGCGGCGCGCGCGGCGCGACCCGCACGCTGCGCCTGCCGCCGTCGGGCCGCGGCGGCGGCCAGCCGCCCAGCGCGGGCGCCAGCGCCAACAACAGCACTCACGGCGGGCTGCTGTACAAGCAGGGCAGCGTGGGGGCAGCGCTGGTAGCTGAGGCGCTGCGGCAGGAAGTGGCGCTGCAGCTGGCGGCGGCGGCGGCGGCGGCGGCAGGCGGCGGCGTGTCCCGTCCCTCGCGCTCCCGCAGCCGCTCGCCGCTGCCGACGCGCGGGGCCAGCCGCCACAGCCTGAGCTCTCCCGAGCGGGCGGTGCTATGGCCGCCCGGCAGCGCAACTGTCGCGCCAGCGGGGCACGTCCAGCCCGGCAGCGGCGGCGGCGGCGGCGGCGGCGGCAGCGCCTCGGGCCAGCAGCCGCTGGACGTGCCGCCGCCGCTCTTCCCCGGCCTGCGCCGCACTCGGTCGGAGCTGGCCAACAGCAGCGGCGCCAGCACGCCGCGCCTGGTCGTGCCGCTGCCGCCGCCGCCCGCGCGGCGCAGCACCAACCTCAGCCAGCGGGTGCAGGAGCAGGTGGGGCAGGCTGCAGCTGCCCGCTGCCGGCCGCCGGGGTGCCACCTGCGGGCCTTCTGCGGCCAGCTGTGCATGCTGCCGCTGCCGCCGCCGGCTGCTCCTCCCCAGCCACCCCGGCCGCCGTCTCCAGAAGCCCTGTGCACGGCAGGCTCTGCACCTGTGCTGTCATTTGCATTGAACAATGAGCAACAGAGCGAATCAAACGAGCCTGTGCCCGCCCATCCTTGCGGTACCGCAGATGGACCTGCTGGAGCCGCTGCTCATCACCAGCAGGCGCGCGTCTGGCGCCTCCAGCGGCGTGCTGTCTCTGGAGGGGGAGGCTTCGGGGGGGGCGACCGCGGGCAGCGAGGGGTGAGCACTTGCGCCGATGCGAGGCGGCGGGCCCCGGCGCCGCCAGCCTCGCTGCCTGCCAACCGCATCGACCCTCGGCGCCTCCCTCTCTCTGTGCCTTGCTCCTTTGTCCCCGCTCCCTGCCCCGCCATCCGTGTACCGCCCTCTGCCTCGCCGCCTACCGACTGTTTTTGCATGCGCACACTCCGGCACTCCCACCTGCCTCCTTGCCTCCTGGACTTCCCGCTCTGCTCCCACCCCACTTGTATCGAGCCCCCGAGTGATGCTATGTTGCATGCGCCCCCTCATTTTTGAGCTGCAACCCGGCACTGAACTGGCTCTGCCCATGCCTTGCCTGCCAGCTGGAGTGGGCCCCTCCCCGAGCGTCCCCCACCCTGAGTGTAGTGCACCTTTTGATCCGCTCTCACCGATGTATGTGTTACACACCTTTTGATTGGCCACGTCACAAGTAACTTTTGTACGGCCGCGTCGTGCTCTTTCGGAGGCAAGCTGCGCGCCAGCCTGGCATCCAGGGGGCCCACGCACGGCCTGCCGCCAGGGTCGGCCTCAGCGCCGCCGCCGCTTGCTCCCCGCCCCCGCCGCGGAGATGGCGGCCGCACTGGCGGCCCCCGCCGCACGCAGCTTGGTCCCTGCCTCCGCCTGCCGCGGCATCAGCCGGCGGTGATTGGCAGGGTGGCCGACTGCCGGCGCCGGCTCAGGAACCTGGCAGCCAAGCGCACATTCAGGTCCGCCACCACCAGGACGCCCACTGCGATGCCGTAGCCAGCCACCCAGTTGCCCGTCCACCGCTTGCAAATGGCCATGAGGCCGGCTTCCGCCGCCAGCAGCAGGATCTGCATGCAGATGCGTCCAGCGCCTGCACAAGCACACAGTGCAAAGTCAAGAGCAGGATGCAGTGAACGAGGTTGGTGCCAGTAAAGGGGCAGGCGTGGCCGCAGCTGCTGTCACCTGCACAGTGGCTACAGCAGCAGCCACCGCCTCAGGCTCATGCTAACCTCTCACCTTTGGACACCGCTGCTAACAGCAGGCTCAGCAGTCCGCACAACCACTAGAGCAGCAGTGCTGGCAGCAGCAGCAAGTTGAAGGCTGCCAGCCGCCGCCGCAGCCCGTTGACCTGCCCTCTCAGGTCCTCGTTCTGGCTGTGCACGGCAGCGAAGCGAACCAGCACCTCCGTTCCTCTGGGGTCGTCTGGAAGGAGGTCTCCCAGGGGCGTGTCTTTCAGATCATGATTTGAGGCGGCGGTTGCCTGGGACGCCATGCTGGGCCCATATGAACACAGAATAGTAACTTTGTGAACAAGCCGGGCAAATTTGAACCCCGCTCTGGTGGAAAGTGGAGGCCCATCAGCGCTGCATGGGACTGGCATGCGTCCCGTGGGGCTGGGATGTGCGACCTTTTTCCAAACAGAGAGGCGGCGCTGTGCCGCTTGTGACACCAGCACCGGCTCAGCTGGTGGGAAGACAAGGGGCATGTTGAGGACGGGGAGCAGCGGGGCAGCGCTTGCAACCTTGGATGGAACCTGCCAGCCAGCCGCAAGGGAAGCATGGAGGAAAAGTCCCCGCCCCACGCCATGGGCTGCCTGTACCAGGCCTGCTGCAAAGGCTGCCGCCCCTGCCGCCGCCTCCCTGCTGCACCGCACCATCTCAGCGGCTGGCAGGGGTCAGCAGCCACAGTGTGGCGCGACGCAAAACAAGCTGCCCCACACAGTGCTTGCGCAGCGGCTGCCACGATCTGCCAGTTCACTTTGCTGCCCACTCCCTCTTCCTCTTGCTGCTGCCGACCTGCTTCGTTATACCACCACCCTATCCGCCACCTCCCCCCCCCCC